TTCTTAGGTAAACGTAACGATCAAATCTAATTATTTATAAGTAAACACATTAAATTTAAATTAATTCACTTTTTAACTTTTAAATGAATTAAAAGTTGGTTTTCTCGAAAGGAAACACTATTATATTAATCAAAATTATATCTTAGTTGTATGCAATAAAAATACAATTATTTTTACAAGAAATCCGATTATTTTTTAATCAAATGAATTTTAACTATCACATTCATATATTTTTTTCTGTCAAAAATATAGTTTCAAGAAAATGTGTACCAACTTTGTTATTAATTAATCTTAATATAATAACATTAAAGATTTTTTTAAATACTTTATATAGTATATATTTTTAAATAATGGCTCAAAGTTTGTTATTGATCTCTTAGTTTGGCAATTTTCTAACAATTAAGCTATTTAAGATAAGTAGTAAGATATGTATATTTCCATTTACAAAAAATAAAGAGTGTACCATTATAAAGGATATGGATTCAAATAAATGATAATATTAACCTCTACTTTTCCTTTACTGTTATGTGTTGTTTTACAATTAAAAAAATGTATTTTAAAATTGTTGTATATTATTGAAAAGTAATGATAAAAGCTCACGAGGTTCTTTTTTTGTTTGATTAATATAATCGCATTTTGTCACAGCCCCTTTTATTACGCCTAACTCAGTAAATACAGAAATGTAATACATTATTCATGTTTATGACCCTATGGTGCCTAAAAATTGCCAAAATTCAAACTGACAGTGACCTGTTGCAAACAGTGCGAAAGACAATTTTTCTTATTTTCATCTCTTACAAATGATTCATAAGTCTCATTGGTATACAAAATAAATATATTTTTCAAATCCCTTATAACTCATAAGGTTTCATTTTATTATTATACAAAGATATTTAAAAAGCGCAGTCATATATATTAGAATATTAACAGTGTTTAATTTATTTCTTTTTAATGTAATGAATTTTTGATGGAATGTGAATGTAAAAACTCAATCTAAATAAAATTATCAAAAAAAAAATTCCAAAAATTGGCTATCTTTTAATAAAATATAGTGATGATCAGTCTCTGACTTAGGATAATTAAATAGTCAAAAATTGCAATCACAAAAATAGATTTTGTTCTTATATCTTATCATATATTAAAAACCATAAAGTTATATGTGTATATTTATTAAAAATTAATAATGTTATTTTGTTATTATTTTTTTAATTTAATAATTTCATAGTAAAATATTTATTATTTTTAAACTTGTTTATAAAGTTATAAGATCAGGTACAGTGTCGAAATTTTGTCTTTAAGGGGGCAAAAATTAAAAAACCATAAAATAATTAATTGAAATTATGAAAAATATAAAATGTAATTACTACTTAATACTATCTACAATATTTAAGTTGAAAACATTATTTTTCATAAAAATTGTGTTAAATGTAATTTTATCCATTTTTAACGAATTATGAAAATATCATGTTTAATGCGAACAAATTTATTAATAAGGGTAGTTTTTATGATTGTTTTTAAAGTTAACCTTGGAACCTATAATTATTTTTATATAACTAAATGCAGAATATACTAAATAAAAAAAATAAACTATGTTTACTAATTTATAACCAGTTATTACATTTTGAGTTAATACAATTTTATTAATGCTAATATCTCATATATTTTTAGTTTTTAAATAATATTAACTAAATGTAAACTATAATTTTCTTCCTTGATCTATTTTTAGAAGAGACCAGGGTTAGTTAACAAACTTTTTTTTTTGCATTTTTACTTTATATAAAAAATATTTTAGATAAAATATTGACTCTAATGTGGAAAAATTATTTTGTCCATAATTATGTTATTTAGTCTATTGACAAAAGTTTTAAAAATAAATTTTGCTTTAGCAACATGGTTTAATAGTATTATTATATATTGTCCCACTTAAGTTTCTTTATACATAATTGATCTGAGTCAAACCTTTGTGTCTTCTATTTAATCAATTTATAAAAACATAAAATCTATATATATACAGGGTGATTTTTTTATCATAACCCACTCAATTACTTACAGAATAATAATAATTTAAACGTTTTTTTTTTCAATTATCTTTAGTTACACATCATTCTTGTATTATTAACTATGTAATACTTTTTAAGTTCATCCCTTATGCCTGGTAAGGGTGTGAACTTTGTTTTTTTAAATGGGAACACATATTTTGAATTTAATAAAATGTTTGAGTTTTTAATTTAATAGTAAATGGAATTTGAATTTTTAATATAACTTTATTTGTTTATAAGATATAAACATTTAAAGTTTCAAATTTTTGAGTTAATATACATATATAATACAAAAGAAATTACAAATACAGGTAGCTAATTGGTTTTTTATGACATAGATATTAGTAGGTACACAGCATTGTTATTATCAATGGTAGTAAGGTACATTGTTGTGAGTTTATAAATATACTAACTGACAATACTAAAAGTATATCTATTTATAGTCATAATTGATAATAAACAATCCGTGACTGTGATAGCAATATCATAAAAAACCAATTAGCTACCTGTATTTGTAATTCCTTGTGTATTATACCTACATATTAACTCAAAAATTTGAAACTTTAAATGTTTATATCTTATAAACAAATAAAGTTATATTAAAAATTCAAATTCCATTTACTATTAAATTAAAAACTCAAACATTTTATTAAATTCAAAATATGTACTCTCATTAAAAAAAACAAAAATGACACCCTTACCAGGCATAAAGGATGAACTTAAAAAGTATTATATAGTTAATAATTCAAGAATAATGTGTAACTAAAGATAATAATAAAAAAAAACGTTTAAATTATTATTATTCTGTAAGTAATTGAGTGGGTTATGATAAAAAAATCTCTTGTATAATATGAAACTTTAAATTCCTAATTATAACTAAAGGTATTATTTTCTGTTTTTTATCGATAAAAATTAAATAAATTTAAAAAAAAAATATTTTATAAAATTTAGAAAATACGTGGAATTCTTTAAATGAATTAGTCAAAAATAAAAAATGCAATTTTTTTAAAGGTACTTTTAAATTATTCCTATTGTTTAAAATATTAAAATTGAATGTGTTTTATAAAAAGGAGCGTAATTTCACTAGGTTTTTGTTGCATATTTTAGCATTACAAAACTTTTAATGTTAGTTTTCGCAAGATTTATAGTTATAGTCATGAGTTTTGGAATAACTGGGTGAACAAGTTTCAGAGAAATATCTGGTGTAAATTTCTAACTTAAACCGACTTTAATTTTTAATCTTTATTTCCAAACGATCCTAGATATTTTTCATCTGCAACATAAGTTTCTTTTCTCATATTTTGTTACACAAGGCAATATTAATACTTTATTTTGTTTTTTATAACTCTAATTTTATTATTTAGTTAATTACCTAACTAATTTAATAAAAAAAAAATCATAAAAATTGCTTTTATTTAGTTTCATAAGGAAATTCGATTAGTAAGTAAATTCTAATCATAATATATTTTCGATATATTTTCCTAAATATACGTTTCAGTCTGGCTTTACAATAGCTAGAAGCATTCATTACTTGTTAAAAATTCTGAAATAGTATAATTAGGATGCGAAGATCGTCACTATATATATTTTTTTTGACACTGAGTTCTAATAAAATTTTGCATTAAGAAATGAAAGCCGTAATTTATATTTGTACGGTATTTGTTAATGTTTTTAAAATCATCCATTGATATTAAGTAAATTATTGACACAAAGTATTTTTTTGACTGCCTGTCCTCGATTTCATGTTCTTATTAAGTTATCATGATAGTGTTTTCAGTCATAACACTTAATTGAATATATTATATTACAATGCAGACTTATGCACTAATTACAAAATTCTTTTGTTTGTTCGTTGTGTTTATAAGATTACTAGTAATGTTCAAGTTAACTATGTGTAGCACCTTTGCGTCAGACGTTGTTATGAAGAACTAGCATACGTATATTGTTTAGGCTATGCTAAATTTTTCCAAGAAAATATAGTGCTCTTTACCAACATGAAAAACGCTTTTTATAGCAGTATTCCACAAGAAAAGCGTTTTTTATAAGTAAAACATCAATAAAAATTAACCAAAATCATTAATATCAATATTTTTATAAAACAAAAGTTAAAGCGAGATTCAATAAATTGATTAAACACAGTAAAATTTTTATAGGCTAAATTCAAGTATATTTTTTGATTTTATGGACACGAGGCATTTATTTATAATACAATTAGAATGAACAATTTAAAATCTTACACAAAATGTCTACTAGGCATCAGAAATAAAAGTTATACATTTTGGCTAAAGTAAAATAAAAATTATTTTATTCATTATTACCTTATAAAACCTACACAAAATCTATTTTAGAATCACCTTATTACGGAAAAGTAATGTTATTAGACACAACATTATGTTTAGTAAAATTTACTAAAACGAAGTATTCTATAAAATTTCATTGACTTGTGATTAGGATTAAGTTTAAGATTTGTTAATAAAGGTGTCATAACTGCTGGACTAGCCAAAAAACAATAATCTCATCATTTTTATAACTTGACCAAAATTACTCTTATTCATTCATAAAATACTGAATTTATAAAAAAATTAATTTTAATAACTCTCAAATAGTATGAATAGAATTGTAAAAAACAAGGTATTCTAAAATAAAATGATACTTTTATAGTATAACACAAAGTAGTTTTTCAAGTACCATGTGGTTAAAAATTATTTTTTTCAACATACTATAGCCATGGCCATATTTTATTGATATCCACTTCAGTTAACTTATTTTTTCTGTTTCTCTATTTCTATGCCCGTATGTATTATACATCAAAATCACAATTCGAGTTACAATAAATAGATAGGGAATGACAGAGATACAAATTGAAGTGATAGTTTTTGGTACTATGGAAATAAATTTTATACACTATAAAGAACAAGTATAGGATTTGATACGTGATGTAAATATAAATATTTTACTCACCTCCTTTTGCTATTCTTCATCTGACGTTTGTCGTCGTATTATGGGCACAAATATTGAAACAAATTTTCTTGTACAAAGATGTCTTCAAAAAACTTATAATTCAATATGGATAATTGATATAAGTCCTAAAACAATTATTTATTATTTTATTAACTTAATATTGTTTTTTTAGCTATGATGCGAAGCTGAGTAGGTATTAACTTTACTATGATGTTATTTTTTTTGTGTCTGTTACCACTCTTTCTCAACTTTCACCGAACCGATTTTTTTCAAAGATACGTTAAAAAATCACAAATCATATCTAGTCAAAGATATTACCCTCAAAAAGTGAAAAAATTTCCTTCGTTCCTGGTAAATGGGGGAAATCTCCAAAAAATCGATATTTTTTTAAATTTTTTTACTTAAAACTACCATAATTTTTGAAAATAGATAAATAGAAACAATTTTTTTTATACATACACTAGGTATTTTTAACCTATCATTTAGTAAATTTTTTTCAAAAATCTGATCCTTTACCTGCTCACAGAAGGGGATTCAAAATGATAACTTTTCCACAAATAATTCATTTTTCAACTTAATTTTTGAAAATCTTTCGGAAATACTGACACTTTTGTATAAATCTTAAATTTCAACGTATGTACTGTACTTTCATATGGTGAAAAAAATTCGTACTTTATTTTTTCTTCATTGTGAAAATGGCTACCATACTCAAAATATGCTATTTTTGTGTTAAAATTATCGGTTTCGTGTTTATTTTATTTTAAAATATCTTACAGTGGAAGTACACTGATTTTCATAAAATTATATTAATATAATTCACATAGCATATATTTATAAACTTATTTAAATTGTTTTAGCTTCGATGCGAAGCTGAGAAGGTATTGGTTTTACTATGATGTGTTTTTTTTTTTTTTTTTTTTTTTTTTTTTTTTTTTT